TTACCTGGTTTATTCAGCACACCTTTAACTATTGTACACCAAACACATTGTGGTTAAGACAAAGGATAAAGGAAGTGGTGAACTAAAAGAGATTATTACCCATAGAGCTGTATTCCAGAGGACAAAGTGAAAAGCAGAAAGCTTGGGAGAGGAAAGAAAGTAGTGAAAAGTGAAAAGTAGAGAGAGAACAACTGACCAGTGCAGAGAAGAGAAAACAGAGAATATACAATGCTCTACATTTGCAGTGTGGCTAAAGATGCAAGAAAGTGAGGCTGGCAGAAAAGTCTCATCTAAGGGGTTCAGATTTGTATTTATGAAAATTCCAATGAAAGTGGCCATGAGGTCTCCAGCCATGTCTATGATAGTCACTTCAGTCCCTGACACAGATGTCTTAGTCCAAGTCTCCTGGAGCCCAACGTGAGCATGTTTTCCTATACAGGTGGTTTCAACAATCATTAAGTCTCTCAGGTTATGACACTGTATTCAACTCTTAATTTACCAGAACATCCAATCAGGATCCATGCTTTAAATTCAATCATCCTAGTTTTCTCCTCTTCTAGCCAAATTTAGCAACTGGACTAATCCTGCCGTCTCCACTGAATTTGATTGTGTACTATCAGGAAAATTTATCTACTGCTTGCAGCTGTCCCAACTCCTCTCCTGGGTGAGTTGGAATGCCTAACCTGATTAGCAGACAGGGTAGAGGTATTGGGCCCTGGGGTAATCACTCAGGGAAGCTGAGAAGCTGCTCAAGGCTTAAATTTTCCACACTCTGCCAATGGTACAAATGGAAATTCATTTGAGAAGGGCTCAACAGGCCAAATTCATCAAGACTTTCAAGTAATGCAAGGAAAAAAAAAAAGGAAAATGGAGGGTTGGGATTATAGAGGACAAACCTCTCTTATTTAGAATGCACTTCTGGTTTTTATCTTCTTTTTCTTATTATATTTTCATTATGTCTTGGGCATTGTGTTAAGTGTTTTATATCCCTTATCATTTAATCCTCATGATAACCTTATGAGCTGGGGGTTATTAATATCCACTTTATGCGGACAAGAAAATCAAAACTCAGAAAAGTAAAAATTTCCCTGAGATTACAAGGTTAGTGAGCAGTAGAGCCTAGGCAAGGGTACCTCAAAAGTCTATGTTCACAATCCCTATGGTATTCTGCCACCATCTTTTTCCTTTTGCCACTTAACTCAGAGCCTTACCTCTACTTCTGAAAAATCTAGTCTTTCACTGAAAACCCTTCAAACAATTCTATTTCTTCTCATTTAAGTTTGGCCCAAAAAAACTCCCTCTGATCTCCCTGTGATTCAGGCATTAGCACCCATCTCTCTCTTATTGACCCCTGTGTTTTATTCATATTGATCTATTCACAACTCCCTACCACAACTGTGGGCTGTGTCTCCACATCTTTATGCTTGATCTTTCTTCCACTGGGATTGCCTCCCGCACAATTTTGCCTGTTTGGTGAATTCCTACCATACGTGCAACTTATGGTCAATTCATATATTTTAAAAATGAAAGTATTTGTATGTTTTAAAATATTTTGTATTTTACAAATGAACTAATTAATCAATAAATAAAAGAATATATAAACACCTATCATTTAACATACTTCCTTTCTAAAGCTTTCCTTGACTCTCCAGTCTTCATTAATTGTTTTGTACTTTGAAAAATGATATAAGAAAAGAATTTTGTTACTTGGTGGGTCTCTTAAAATGAGCTACAAAATTAAACGGCTATTTGGATATTTTTTTCAGGGAATATAGGCTTCTTGACAGGAGGAACTGTATCTTTCCTGTCTTTCTTGTGATGGCACAGAGAGTTCTCCAACAATACTGGTTTATTTAAAATAAAAAGCAATGAAGAGATGAAAATAAGAGTCATTTTGAGCTCAGTATAAGTAGGGGCACTTCAATATTCTGCTGAAGAGAAAGTAGAGGGGGTAGCTTTATGGGAGAATAGGGCATGAGAAGCTTTAAGGGATTTTATAATGAAAATTCCTGTACTTGATGTTAGGCTAGTCAAGGCAACTTCTGATTCCACTTAACAAAGAGAGTTTGAGATAACCCAATGAAAAATTATAACAATAGTGATAATAATTATTATAGTACTACTACCTATATGTGTTCTAGACCATTCTAAGCACTTTTTAATGCACTAAATTTTTTTACTTCTCACAAAAATCCTGCAAAAGTGTTCCTATTATCCCAACAATATGTTGAAAGTGAAGGTAGAATCAAGACCCCTTCTTAAGAGAAGAAGGTGTCTGTGGCTCCAGAAGACCTTAAAAAAAATCTAACATCTGCCTGAGACCCAGAAAGATTCCAAGCCGTGGTATATGTGTTCAGGACTCAGAATAAAGGCTGGTCTATCTCTTGGAACAGTCTATCTCTTGGGTCCATCCTGATAATGGAAGAGGATATCCACTTGTGTGAGGGGAAGGGTCTATAACTCTCATTCTCAGATTCACTTATGTGTGTGTGTGCAGACATTCATATATATGTGTCTGTACTCAGCATGTTTGCAAACATACTGTCTGTACTTCTATATCCCATTGTATCAATCCTTATGTATGCTTCTTTCCATTGTTAGAATGAACTCTCCTTGGGAGCTGGGATTATACAGTGTTCATCTTTGGTACTCCAGGACCTATACAGAGCCCTGCATAGAAAGAACATCAAAAATGTTAATGAACTGGAAAAATGAATGTATTGGTGGGAAAACAATTTCAGCCCACTAATATATGTAGAGGGTTTTCTCTCTCCATGTGAAACATTGAATCATGCCCTAAATATATGATATTCTCAACCCCCACTGGCCTTTTAAAATGTGTTTTTTGTTTTGTCTATAATTGCCTTTACCATACTTTTCTACAGAGTGTAGCCCTATATAGAGAAGCAAGGTCTAGCTCAAATAATGTTTCTTCTTCACTATCTTTCTCAGCAACTCCAGGATAAACTAGTGACTACAAAAATACTAATTTAGACACTGCTATAATTTTTATTCATCTCAAAATCCACAATACTTAGTATAGTGCTTGACCCTAAAATAAAGCCCAACAAATGCTTATTGAATAAAAGAGTTAATTTATGATTTAAAAAACGAATGAATAATTCCTCTCCCACTTACCATCCTCTTTGCCTTCTCCCCAAAATCATCAACTGAATTCTCAAAGCATCGTTTTAGCCACTAGAACACAGGAAGAAGAGAAGCCCAGGACCTAATGGAGTTTAGAAGTATCTCTAAAACAACATTCTTTAGTTCCCCTCAGGATCCCTGAAATATAGAAGTTCTAATTTCCTCTCTAACCACTCAGAAAACATAGATGCAAATAAATAAATTCTAACTCCAGGGTCTTCCTTGACAGCAAAAACAAATTTTCTCTTCAAATTAGTGGAAAGTGAAATAGCAAAGAACCAGTCTTTTCAGGTTGGAAATCCTAAAGGAGATATGTAAAACAAGGGTATCATGAAGTCACTCAGATACTCCCAAAGGAAGCAACATGTATTAAGTGCCTCTGGTATGTCAATAGTGTGCTTCCTG